ACCCTGCCTGTTCATCTCAATCTCACCCTGCCTGTTCATCTCAATCTCATCCTACCTGTTTATCTCAATCTCACCCTGCCTGCTCATCTCAATCTCACCCTGCCTGTTCATCTCAATCTCACCTGTCTCTGTTCATCTCAATCTCACCTTGCCTGTTCATCTCAATCTCACCTTGCCTGTTCATCTCAATATCTAACCTGTCTCTGTTTATCCCCATCTCACCTTGCCTGTTCATCTCCATCTCACCCTGCCTGTTCATCTCCATCTCACCTTGCCTGTTCATCTCAATCTCACCTTGCCTGTTCATCTCAATATCTAACCTGTCTCTGTTTATCCCCATCTCACCTTGCCTGTTCATCTCAATCTCACCCTGCCTGTTTATCTCTATATCTAACCTGTCTCTGTTTATCCCCATCTCACCCTGCCTGTTCATTTCCATCTCACCCTGCCTGTTTATCTCTATATCTAACCTGTCTCTGTTTATCCCCATCTCACCCTGCCTGTTAATTTCCATCTCACCCTGCCTGTTTATCTCTATATCTAACCTGTCTCTGTTTATCCCAATCTCACCCTGCCTGTTCATTTCCATCTCACCCTGCCTGTTTATCTCTATATCTAACCTGTCTCTGTTTATCCCCATCTCACCTTGCCTGTTCATTTCCATCTCACCCTGCCTGTTTATCTCTATATCTAACCTGTCTCTGTTTATCCCCATCTCACCTTGCCTGTTCATCTCCACCTCAACCTGCCTGTTCATCTCTATATCTAACCTGTCTCTGTTTATCCCCATCTCACCTTGCCTGTTCATCTCCACCTCACCCTGCCTGTTTATCTCTATATCTAACCTGTCTCTGTTTATCCCCATCTCACCTTGCCTGTTCATCTCCACCTCACCCTGCCTGTTTATCTCTATATCTAACCTGTCTCTGTTTATCCCCATCTCACCCTGCCTGTTCATTTCCATCTCACCCTGCCTGTTTATCCCCATCTCACCCTGCCTGTTCATTTCCATCTCACCCTGCCTGTTCATCTCCACCTCACCTTGCCTGTTCATCTCTATATCTCACCTGTCTCTGTTTATCCCCATCTCACCCTGCCTGTTCATTTCCATCTCACCCTGCCTGTTTATCTCCATCTCACCCTGCCTGTTCATCTCAATCTCACCCTGCCTGTTCATCTCAATCTCACCCTGCCTGTTCATCTCCATCTCATCCTGCCGGTTTATCTCAATCTCACCTTGCCTGTTCATCTCAATCTCACCCTGCCTGTTCATCTAAATCTCACCTGTCTCTGTTCTTCTCAATCTCACCTTGCCTGTTCATCTCCACCTCACCCTGCCTGATCATCTCAATCTCACCCTGCCTGTTCATCTCAATCTCACCCTGTCTCTTCTCATCTCCACCTCACCCTGTCTATTCATCTCAATCTCACCTTTCTCTGTTAATCTCGGTCTCACCCTGACTGTTCATCTCCACCTCACCCTGCCTGTTCATCTCAATCTCACCCAGCCTGTTGCTCTCAATCTAACCCTGCCTGTTCATCTCAATCTCACCCTGCCTGTTCATCTCCATCTCACCCTGCCTGTTCATCTCAATCTCACCCTGACTGTTCATCTCAATCTCACCTGTCTCTTCTCATCTCCACCTCACCCTGTCTGTTCATCTCAATCTCACCTTTCTCTGTTAATCTCGGTCTTACCCTGACTGTTCATCTCCACCTCACCCTGCCTGTTCATCTCAATCTCACCCAGCCTGTTGCTCTCAATCTCACCCTGCCTGTTCATCTCAATCTCGCCCTGCCTGTTCATCTCCACCTCACCCTGCCTGTTCATCTCAATCTCACCCTGCCTGTTCATCTCAATCTCACCTGTCTCTTCTCATCTCCACCTCACCCTGTCTGTTCATCTCAATCTCACCTTTCTCTGTTAATCTCGGTCTTACCCTGACTGTTCATCTCCACCTCACCCTGCCTGTTCATCTCAATCTCACCCTGCCTGTTGCTCTCAATCTCACCCTGACTGTTAAGCTCCATCTCACCCTGCCTGTTCATCTCCATCTCACCCTGCCTGTTCATCTCAATCTCACCCTGCCTGTTTATCTCCACCTCATCCTGCCTGTTCATCTCAATCTCACCCTGCCTGTTCATCTCAATCTCACCCTGCCTGTTCATCTCCATCTCACCTATCTCTTCTCATCTCCACCTCACCCTGCCTGTTCATCTCCACCTCACCCTGTCTGTTCATCTCAATCTCACCTTTCTCTGTTAATCTCGGTCTCACCCTGACTGTTTATCTCCATCTCACCCTGCCTGTTCATCTCTATCTCACCCTGTCTCAACATATCTATTTCACTCTGTTGGGTTTACCTCCATCTCACGGCGTATATTTGTATTTCGACCTGCCTGAATGTAGGTCCGGCTCGCTGATCAACTAAGATGAAACGCCTTACTTGAATACGACGACCACAACGACACGGGATGCAAGAATGATCACGCACGTGGATCGAAAGCATTAATATTTTACCCTTTATTAAATATTTAGTTGAGTGTGTGTTGTACGTCGCCATGGTAAGTGGGTGAACGATGTCATCTAGGCCGCAGTCAACTTGATCTCAGCTGTTTCGTGGGGGCATTAAATGACCGAGGCTGATCAAGATTAAATTTGTGGTTAATGGTGTGTGCAACGATTCAGATCCAGGACAATAGATCTAGGACAATAGATATGCTCTTTTAACTTCTATCCAGCTGTAATATACATGCATCTGAGACTGAGTTTGGTGTAACGCTGCTTTAAACAGCTTTCAACTTGATAACGGTATGTCAGCTTGATGTGGGAGGAAAGCCCGAAGTAAGGCAGGTATTTCACGTTTACTACTTTGGTGAAACCCACTAGCGCGGTTGTGTACTCACAAACCTAGAAACATAATCAGGGCGAACCGGGATTCGAACCACGATCAAGGTCAGCAACTCGTGCTTGTCATAAAAGGCGACCAAAGGGACCGTGGGGTCAGGCTCACTGACTTGGTTGATGCATGTCATCGAATCCCAATTGCATAGGTCGATGCTCTTGATAAACACTGGATTGTCTGGTCCAGACTCGATCATCTTACGACCGCCGTCAAATAGCTGGAAAAAAGCGTCTTGAAACAACAAACACAACTTTAAGTGAGTGAGTGAGTATGGTTTTACGCCGCTTTTAGCAATATTCCAGCAACATCGGCGTGACGAGCCAAACAAACTTTAAAATGGCCTTGTCTCGGGTAATAATTAGCAGTGTCAGCGCTTATTCGATTGAAGTCGTTCAAACACCAATTATTGTCAGCTAACTCCAGGTAATGAAGCATGCACATTTAACTGATCTAATATTTAATTATCTCCACGTGGCACTGATCACATCTAAAGCCAGATTGGAAAAGACAGTTTCCTCAAACTACCAAATTGCTTCTAATTTACACACTAAATTTCTTAAATCATTCATTAATTTTTGCCAATAAGTTTATTAATTATTTAAAATACATAAAATAATTAGTTCCTCTTATTCATATTGAATATTTCTGCAGCAAGTTTGGATAAAAAGTAATGTGTCAATGTACTGTTATTTATTTAAGCTAATTTACAATAAAATGGCATACTCGTTATACAAACTGCCGGACAAAATGAAAGTTTACACTTTAACATTCGATTTGACCAAAACTGTACACACGTCATCAAAACATAACTGGGCTGAAAACTGTCTCCAAAATATTACAAATTTAAAGTCCAAAACAACTATGCTACCCATATCGAATACATCACAATGGAGTAGGGGCGGTCGGGTAGCCTAGTGGTTAAAGCGTTCGCTCGTCACGCCGAAGACCCGGGTTCGATTCCCGACATGGGTACAATGTGTGAAGCCCATTTCTGGTGTCCCCCGCCGTGATATTGCTGGAATATTGCTAAAAGCGGCGTAAAACCATACTCACTCACACAATAGAGTAACCATTTCTTGTTTAATTCATTTAACCATATCAAACATGGTTGTATACTTTCACTTTGTCCTGCAGTTTAGACTATGACAACAATTTACCGTACACCTAAAACGAACAGGTTCATTCGACAACACCTTGTCATATGAATCACCGAAGCGTGAATGTCTCTGAAGACAAGAGCACTGTTTTCGCCCAGACCAATGGAACCAATAGGCTGCTTATTGATGGGCTATTACCATGGGGAAATGAAGTCGGGCTGCTTCAAAGTCTACACAATTGACAACAAAGAGATCGTAGCGCTGTATCGATCACCGATACAAGGCAATGAATAATAAGGATCTATTGCATGAAAGTTATTGATCTTTCTGGCGAGAGATACACAAAAAAATGCACACCAATTAATGCTGTGCTTTGGTTCAGCCGAAAAACATGACTGTAAACAATAGAAGCTGATCACATATATACAGACGTATGCGACTGCGTTGGTGATATTAATGCGTTGCGATGGTTCTCGGCAACACGCACGTGATAACACATGTATGGAAAAACCGTAAGGAACATTCTCGCCTTCTCGGTCCATGGAAACAAGCCATAGGAAACTATAACACCAGAACACGAGATTATGGACTAATAATCGCATTTTTGCATATTTTGCTTGTTTCCAAGTTGAGTGAGGGAGCGAGTGCATGTGATGACACGCTGATGGGTTTAGTGCAGCATGTTACGCCCCTCATATTAATAATGCAGGCTTCGACAGTCAATAAAGCCGAGCTAGAACTCTAACAGTGTATGAATGAGTGGTTCTTATGGACACCCACAAGTGTGAGAAGCTGGCAGAACAAGGGTCACCCACAAGTGTGAGAAGCTGGCAGAACAAGGGTCACATATAAAATCGGGGCGAATCCTTGCATGGCTAAGGGGGGCAACTATAAATACCAAAGCGACGCCAAAGACATCGATATCGATCTATCGTGGGTTGCAGAATATTGGCGCCTTCATTACACTGTTTCAATGGATAATTACAAAAAATACTTCTTCCATTCCTCAGCAACGTGTTTTTTATTTTTAAAAACTTCATGCCTCAACAGTCAACTCTCCTCAACAAGGGGTTGATCCATTTCCACCCGTCCACCTTAGACAGCATATTTAGCTTGGCATACACCGCGAGCCGGCCCTGAAACAGTTAAAATTCAAAGGTTTAAGTCTTTGAAAGGCATTTAGAAGTGATACACATAAGGAAGGGAATTTATGGATATCAACTTCTTTATTATGAGGAACACAAAGTTTCGTTAACAGGTGTCAACTTCTTTATTATGCGGAACACAACGTTTCGTTTGTGGGTGTCGACTTTTTTATTATGAGAAACACGTTTCGTTTGTGGGTGTCAACTTTTTTATTATGAGGAACACAACGTTTCGTTAATGGATGTCAACTTTTTTATTATGAGGAACACAACGTTTCGTTTGTGGGTGTCGACTTTTTTATTATGAGGAACACAACGTTTCGTTTGTGGGTGTCAACTTTTTTATTATGAGGAACACAACGTTTCGTTAATGAATGTCAACTTTTTTATTATGAGGAACACAACGTTTCGTTTGTGGGTGTCGACTTTTTTATTATGAGGAACACAACGTTTCGTTAATGGATGTCAACTTTTTTATTATGAGGAACACAACGTTTCGTTTGTGGGTGTCGACTTTTTTATTATGAGGAACACAACGTTTCGTTTGTGGGTGTCAACTTTTTTATTATGAGGAACACAACGTTTCGTTTGTGGGTGTCAACTTTTTTATTATGAGGAACACAACGTTTCGTTAATGGATATCAACTTCTTTATTATGAGGAACACAAAGTTTCTTTAACAGGTGTCAACTTCTTTATTATGAGGAACACAACGTTTCGTTTGTGGGTGTCGACTTTTTTATTATGAGGAACACGTTTCGTTTGTGGGTGTCAACTTTTTTATTATGAGGAACACAACGTTTCGTTAATGGATGTCAACTTTTTTATTATGAGGAACACAACGTTTCGTTTGTGGGTGTCGACTTTTTTATTATGAGGAACACAACGTTTCGTTTGTGGGTGTCAACTTTTTTATTATGAGGAACACAACGTTTCGTTAATGGATGTCAACTTTTTTATTATGAGGAACACAACGTTTCGTTTGTGGGTGTCGACTTTTTTATTATGAGGAACACAACGTTTCGTTAATGGATGTCAACTTTTTTATTATGAGGAACACAACGTTTCGTTTGTGGGTGTCGACTTTTTTATTATGAGGAACACAACGTTTCGTTTGTGGGTGTCAACTTTTTTATTATGAGGAACACAACGTTTCGTTTGTGGGTGTCAACTTTTTTATTATGAGGAACACAACGTTTCGTTAATGGATATCAACTTCTTTATTATGAGGAACACAAAGTTTCGTTAACAGGTGTCAACTTCTTTATTATGAGGAACACAACGTTTCGTTTGTGGGTGTCGACTTTTTTATTATGAGGAACACGTTTCGTTTGTGGGTGTCAACTTTTTTATTATGAGGAACACAACGTTTCGTTAATGGATGTCAACTTTTTTATTATGAGGAACACAACGTTTCGTTTGTGGGTGTCGACTTTTTTATTATGAGGAACACAACGTTTCGTTTGTGGGTGTCAACTTTTTTATTATGAGGAACACAACGTTTCGTTAATGAATGTCAACTTTTTTATTATGAGGAACACAACGTTTCGTTTGTGGGTGTCGACTTTTTTATTATGAGGAACACGTTTCGTTGACGGATGTCAACTTCTTCATTATGAGGAATACAACGTTTCGTTTATGGGCGTCAACTTCATTAATATGAGAACACACATTATGGAGAAAATGCTTGTTGAAGCCAGGGACACTGATTGGTGATTAGCAATGGACAAATGGAAGCCAGGAGATTGGTCAGTGAGTGGGTATGGCTGGCTTGTTGAGTGTGAAAGCAGTTTTAACAGTGTATAGAAAAAGACAATATCGTTATGACATTAATTAGAGATACTTTGTTTTGCTTAAATCTGCTACCAAATACACAAATGGACTTTGATAATTATTTCGTTGTTACAAATGAAATGTTTAAAGAGATTTTAAATGATTCTTAGGAAATTTAAAGTGAACAAGGTTTAACCATTTAACTATTTTTCAATCGATACCACAAAAGTGTATGGATTGTATATTGAAGGATATGGTTGACGGTCCAGGGGAGACAACTCACTTTCCGAGGGCAAAAAGACAAATTGTGTGCAGCCTTATTCATTAATACATTTTCATTCTCACAACAACAATAGTGTCAAGGTTGAGAAATATTTCAATATGATAATAACGAGGCAAAACATTAATATCACAGACGTTGTGCAAAAGTCAGGAGTAGATAGTGACCGCTAAACTGCCGGACGAACGAAAGTACACACCCACGTTTGATGATAATTAATAATGAAACAAACAAGAAATGGCTGTTCGATGGTCATGTATTTGGTCATAGTTGTGTTTCGGACCTTACGATTGCCGTGTTTTAGATGGGAGCGGATTGGTCATAGGACTGTATCATATGTTTTCAAATACACGTCGTAATTTGTCTTGACCCTCCCTCCCTATAATTAAAAATGAACTGTCCATACATAAGGGACCTTTCCATTATCTGAGCAAAAAAAGGGGTCAGTTCGATTTGTTTTAAATGGGAAAATAAAATAAGAGATAAAAACAATTAAAAGTTTGGGTTATTCATCGCAAGGATTGACTAAGGATTGATTTCAGGTGAAACTGAAAATACCTTCATGCATGGGTGTCGGCGAAGGCTTTCCAAACTTCTGGTGCATTCAGATTGGCACTCGGATTCCTTCGTCTCATTCCGACAATGTTCGATGATGTCCGGAATAAGAATCTCTCTGGCCTCGCCGAAAAATTGAGGAAATGTGCAATCTCCATACGACCTTTCTGAAATGAGTTTTGAAAATGTAGCAATTATTTCACCGAGCTTACCCAGAACACGACTCTTTGCTTAGGCTTGTTAAAATGCATGTCCTGTTTATGATGAGCTTTCCGCCCCTTACATTTTGTATATTTCCATCGCTATTTAGAAACGGCTTTTTCAAGTCAAATTACGTTTTAAAGTGATTCCAACATTTCTTACGCGCTACGCGTTAGATTTGTTGGGGAACCTAGCCATAGCCATCTACTACATCAACTACTACAACGTTGGGTTTAGAGTGGGCGAGATGAAACAAAGGGAAGCCTGGACAATAGTGTCATGACTCTGTCAAAAATTATGAAATGTAGCCTGCAGATGTCCAACACAGCGAGTGATTGAAACAAAGCAAGGTATGAATGCAGTTATACTTTTCCTTTCCATTATCGACGAGAATCTTCATCAGTAACGGTTTCTATAGTTTCCAGTCGCCATATTTACCCGCCTCGCTAAAGACAGTAAACTTTCTATATTCGGGAAAAGACCCCAATCCCCAGAGATCTACAATCACAGGTATGAAAACTGTTCCGCCAAAAGTCCTTGCTTAATTGCTATGCAATGTATACTGTTGCCTACATTTGTAAAACGTCTCAGCTGTACCCCTGTTCGACACTGATTTTGGGTATCTTAGAATGTTATTTGATAATGACTCAAATTATCCAAGTAATTTGTAAATCTAACTCGATCGCCGATAGACACGTGCGATGCCACGTTTGTTTCCAACTTAGAGAAGTACCGATATGTAACTGAAAGTTGGCATGCATCTTCCTTCTCATGAAGATATATAATGTACCCCCATCTAATCGATTAGGAACGGTTAAGAGGTCACAGTGCCTTAAAAACATGTTTAGTCTTTGTCAGATTATTTAAAGGGCGTTGCGAACACCAAGTTGTCTATGTCCTAAATATGTTTAGAATTGTTTAAACCTCGGAAATGTTCATAATCTAAACTTCTTAAGAACCAATTCGTGTTCCGAATATTAAGCTAAAATTTTGCTAAAAGCGGCGTAAAACCGTACTCACTCACTCACTTAATGATCATAATAAAGAGAATGTGAAGCGCTAGTAAAATGTTAGAAACATATCGTTGGATCAACACGCCAGACCATCCTCCATCATAAATTTATTGTTATTTGGTTTTAGAGTGGGCGAGATACGTTTTAACATTAGAAATACATTTGCCACAAAATAATTCAATATGTGTATGTAATAAGTCAATATTTAAATCTATTTCTCAATTTTATTTTGTTTTGTCGGCGATCTCCTAGTTCGAGTTTGGATCGGAGTGTCAACGAATTCTCCATGGCTACGAATTATATCGGTTGCGGGTTCGCCGTATGGAATGTCACTATTCAGTAAATTCCCTATCTCATTAAAATCAGATCTTAGTGCTCGCTGCCGCTGAGGACATACCGTTACAGGTGACGTCATTGTATTAATGTAACAACCACAACAAGATAAGGAGATTTGTTAATTGCATCACTATTCACACCTCACATCGTTGGCATAAATGCTGTTGCAAAAATACTTTATTTTTATTCTTCAAAGAATCATTTGCACCATTTATCCTTTAACCCACTGTAGAGGGCACGGGTGGCCCAGTCGTCTAAGGCGCCGCGATTCGCTGTGCAGAGTTGCGTCCCCTGGACACGCCTGTTCAGCCCGATTATGTTTCTAGGTTTGTCAGCACCATACCCGTGCTCGTGGGTTTTACCGAAGTGATAAACGTCTAAGGCCTGCATCACTTCGGGCTTTCCTCCCACATTAAGCTGACACGCCGTAATATAACTGGAATAATGTTAAAAGCGACGTTAAACCTCACTCACTCACTCACAATAACCCACTATATATTGAAGTGTCACCAGGTTATAACTTCTTAAGTCAGGTTAGCTACAGCGCCCTGCGGCTCTGTTTTTGCAAAAAGGTACGTATTTTGTGCAATATGTTAGGTAATAATCACAATCTCATGACCGAACTTGCAGTGTTTGTACACCACTAGTTGTAACCAGCGGTCGAGATAACACCGAGATCTTCACGTGTTCTACTGGGCAGCAATCGTGATTGTGAGATTATCTGTGCACAGCTTGAACATCATGCGGCACACAAACCAACATATTTAGCAGGAGGATTATTTTTGACCGAACATTAATAGGGCTACACATACATAAAAACGTAAAGCTTTTGGAGGTTTTGCACATAATATACTTTTTAACGTTGAACAGTTAATTATATGAAATAGACAGAAGTATAATCATAGCCTTTGATGTTGGAGAGTATGGAATGGTATTGTAGCATGTTGGAGAGTATGGAATGGTACTGTAGTACGTTGGAGAATATGGAATGGTACTGTAGTACGTTGGAGAATATGGAATGGTACTGTAGTATGTTGGAGAATATGGAATGGTACTGTAGTATGTTGGAGAATATGGAATGGTACTGTAGTACGTTGGAGAATATGGAATGGTACTGTAGTATGTTGGAGAATATGGAATGGTACTGTAGTATGTTGGAGAATATGGAATGGTACTGTAGTACGTTGGAGAATATGGAATGGTACTGTAGTATGTTGGAGAATATGGAATGGTACTGTAGTACGTTGGAGAATATGGAATGGTATTGTAGTATGTTGGAGAATATGGAATGGTATTGTAGTATGTTGGAGAATATGGAATGGTATTGTAGTATGTTGGAGAATATGGAATGGTACTGTAGTACGTTGGATAATATGGAATGGTATTGTAGTATGTTGGAGAATATGGAATGGTATTGTAGTATGTTGGAGAATATGGAATGGTACTGTAGTACGTTGGATAATATGGAATGGTATTGTAGTATGTTGGAGAATATGGAATGGTATTGTAGTATGTTGGAGAATATGGAATGGTACTGTAGTACGTTGGATAATATGGAATGGTATTGTAGCATGTTGGAGAATATGGAATGGTACTGTAGTACGTTGGAGAATATGGAATGGTACTGTTGTATGTTGGAGAATATGGAATGGTACTGTAGTATGTTGGAGAATATGGAATGGTACTGTAGTATGTTGGATAATATGGACTGACTGACTGAGTGTGGTTTTACGCCGCTTTTAGCAATATTCCAGCAATATCACGGCGGGGGACACCAGAAATTGGCTTCACACATTGTACCTGGAGAATATGGAATGGTACTGTAGTACGTTGGAGAATATGGAATGGTACTGTAGAATGTTGGAGAATATGGAATGGTACTGTAGTATGTTGGAGAATATGGAATGGTACTGTAGTATGTTGGAGAATATGGAATGGTATTGTAGTATGTTGGAGAATATGGAATGGTATTGTAGTATGTTGGAGAATATGGAATGGTATTGTAGTATGTTGGAGAATATGGAATGGTATTGTACTACGTTGGAGAATATGGAATGGTATTGTACTACGTTGGAGAATATGGAATGGTATTGTAGTATGTTGGAGAATATGGAATGGTATTGTAGTATGTTGGAGAATATGGAATGGTATTGTAGTATGTTGGAGAATATGGAATGGTATTGTACTACGTTCGAGAATATGGTTGGTTGGTTAGTTGGTTGTTTAATATTCCAGCTCTATGACGGCGGTCTGTAAATAATCAAGTCTGGACCAGACAATCCAGTGATTAATATAATGAGCATCGATCCACGCAATTAGGATAGATGACATGCATCAACCAAGTCAGCGAGCTTGACCACCCGATCCCCTAAGTCGCCTCTTACGACAAGCACAGTCGCCTTTTACGGCAAGCATGGGTTGCTGCAGACCTATTCTAGAATATGGAATGGTATTGTTGTATGTTGGAGAATATGGAATGGTATTATGGTATGTTGGAGAATATGGAATGGTATTGTAGTATGTTGGAGAATATGGAATGGTATTGTAGTATGTTGGAGAATATGGAATGGTATTGTAATATGTTGGAGAATATGGAATGGTATTGTAGTATGTTGGAGAATATGGAATGGTATTGTAGTATGTTGGACAATATGGAATGATATTGTGGTATGTTGGAGAATATGGAATGGTATTGTAGTATGTTGGAGAATATGGAATGGTATTGTAGTATGTTGGAGAATATGGAATGATATTGTAGTATGTTGGAGAATATGGAATGATATTGTTGTATGTTGGAGACTAATGATATTGTAGTAAGTCGGTGAATATGGAACGGTATTGTATGTCGAATATGGGCTATATTCCCACTCAGGACCAAGTTGGAGCTTATGGACAAATACGAAGAGTCCACAAGGCCAACCCAGTTAGTATCCTGACCCATATGTATGCATGTTGGCCGGTACATGTACGGCAGTCCAATGTAGCATGTGTACCCATGTAAAAGTTTTCAAATGAGTAATTATAACTAAATTAAACGCGGTTTTGGACACAATTAATCACATAGGCCAAGAAATCTGATTAACTGAACAGTATTTCTGAACAAGCTGACCACAGCTTAAAGTTATAGTTTAAGCTTATATTTGCTTATACTTATTCTTTATGTTAAAGTGATACGACTTAACAATTTCACTCGTTTTTTGCCATTCTGATGTATTTGATCACGTATATCAAAAATGACAAATGTGCACAAGAGAAACAACATTTGACATTGTCTGATAATTTTATTGCAAGTATTTTCACGTTTGCGCCAAAATATTCTTTTATCCCATCTCGTCCTCTTGAGACCACGCCAAGAACAATTGAAATTTTGTGGTGAAAACGATAGGGCATAACATACCTCCTTGTTGGCCACAGACGTCATACTCAGCAAACTGGACACACTGGTCGAGGTCGTCTACACGCGGGTAGTAGGTCACGAAGGCAAAACACATCTCCGACTGAAATATTAAACAGATGGGTGACAACGAGGCATTTTCTTTACTGCTTTGTATAACAAAAACAATAAACATGGGGTTGGTAGTTTCACTAGTTTTAGTGGTGTAGATATGTACAGCGATTTTATCCCAGCGTGAGTGAGTGAGTATGATTTTACGCCGCTTTTACATGGGCTTCACACATTGTACCCATGTCGGGAATCGAACCCGGGTCTTCGGCGTGACGAGCGAACGCTTTAACCACTAGGTTACCCGACCGCCCCACACAGACGGGACGTGGCGTGGCGTGGCGTGCCACAAGTCTATAGTCTATACGATCATAGAGGGCATGGGTGGCCCAGGCGCCTCAGGTGCTGCAATTCGCTTTGCAGATACACTCGTGGACTCGAATGATGTTTATATATTTGTTTGCACCATACTTGTGCTCGTGGGTTTCAACAAACTGGTAATCGTTTTTTCTTACATCAAGTTAACACGCCGTGATATATCTGAAATACAAAATGGCGTATAACCAAAGTCACCCACTCATTCGTCATTTCTTAATCATCGTCAAGCGATGAATAATTACAAAGATCCTGCCAGAGTGGTTAGAGCATTCTCTCGTCCAGTCGGAGGCTAGAGTTCCGTTCCCCACATGGCTGGGTCGCTTGCCGTGGTATTGCTGGAATATTGATAAAAGCGGCGTAAAACCGTACACACTCACTCACTCGCTCACTTACGCTTGATCCTTCACCGTTGTACACGTGATGATTGCGGTGTCTGTCTCCTGTTTTCGTGTCAAAGTAACATGTAAGTCGCATCTCGTCTCCTGAAACAGCACAATCCATAATATTATTATCATATTTTCAATAATCAACCAAATACAAGCAGACGCGACAGTACCCTCTCAATTTTCAGTGAAACCCCGTTAATCCGGACAAAACCGTATGATGTCAAATCGCCAACATTAACATATTTCCGGATAAACGAGCATGCTGTAATATGGCTTTAGTTTCATATTGGCGTTCCCACCAATTATCATCCAGGAAAACGTGTATTCCAGATTAACGAGGGTCAGGACTATCAGTGTTTTAAGCAGTCTCGGATTGTACAATGGGTCAAGGCTTAGCACCCCTCAGCTGCCATGACCTTATCGTCCTGGGTTCGAATCTCAGATTGAGGCAGACTATAATACTGGAAATGTGCTCGTTGGTTTCACCATAATGAGTAAACGTCTACAGCCTGCTTCCTCCTTCGTAAAGATGACACGCCGTGAAATAACTGAATAGTGGTCAAAGCGGCGTTATGCTCCCTCCCTCACGATACAACCCTGCATCACCTGGCTGTATCTCCACGGGTGTGCTGTGCACGTGGATGGGCGACAGCTGATACTGATACATAGGGTCTTCGGCGACAGTCTGTATCAGCTTCCCGTCTCGGTGCACCTCAAGAACCCCTCGTACTCCTGAAACAACGGGCAGTCTGTCTCTCCGTCCCAGAACCACAGTCCCCGAACCTTTCCTACCTCCCCTTACTGCACTATAGTCCTTAATATAACAAGTCTAGCTTTGCCACAGGTTCCGAATCTCTCATATCACTGCACTCCTTTTCAAGTTATATTAGTTGCTGTTTAAAAAAAATAAAATGTTTCGAGACTAAGTGTTGGTCTAATGCAAAGTGAGAGATCATTTTCTAATATAGGGTTGCGGCATTGGGTTTATAAAGACCTTCTTCCTGAAAATACTGGAAGATCCTAAAGTCTGTAGCATCCACCACCACTTTGGTAAAACATACGATCAACGGTTTCATACGAGCTCAAGGGGCGCAACTCTGCAAAGCGAATGGTGGCGTCAATGACGTCTTGGCCACCCGTGCTCCCTATGGTCATAAAAACTAACACACAAACTTACCTAGATAGTGCATATGTATGTATGTCCTTGTGAGGAATAGTGAGTGTGGCAGGAGGTTTTTAGTACAGTTTCCACTACAACCACCAGTTTCAGGGTGATTGGTTGCTCCGGGGGGAATGTCAAGGTTAGTCTGGCCTATTTGAACGTTGCCCGCGTCATACTGACGTAACTTCCGGGTGTAGTATACGCGCATGCCCGAATTATCTGAAATATAATTGAAGTTTTATTAATCAGATAAATGTATTTACATCTTATAAATGTCCCTAAAAGTATACAAAAGGAACGTCTGGAAACATTCTAGCTTTGAATTACATTGAAGCCATGTTTTCATAGGTACATGTATACTCAGGGAGTTTTACCAAAATACTGTTCAGTGCAGCGTTAAACCCAACTCACTCACTCACCCAGAGGTATCTTTGACTTTGAAGATCAGTCTTACAACATGTCATGAATACGTGACGTAAAAGCGCCCATTTTCGGAAGCCTGTGGTCTGGTACGTCAGATGTGTCTGTTACGACGACCACGCGGCTCCAACGGTTTGTCCTCGTGGACACACATACACGATACAGCGATATGATTGTGACCTTTGAGTGCGGGAGTAGGTTGGGTTTAACGCTGCTTGAACAGTATTTCTGAATTAGTTTTATCAGCTTTATGTGGAATAAGAGCAAGTGATGCAGGTTTGTGCCTCGCCTAAGGGACGTAACTCTATACAAAGAATTGCCCACCTTCTCCTGTGCCTCTTGTGGCTGTTGAAGCAGGACTAAACTGAAACATACCTGACATGTTCTTTGCTTTCAGTGCGTTGTTCCAGTGTATCTGTAGTGACATAAACGAATATGAGCCTCTTCCAAACCGGATGCCAGTTCCTGGATGCGCGCACACCTGCCCCTTAACTCCCACGGTCCACTGCGCCAACCACGATTGGCACCTTTGGTCAATACCACTGCACTGATGGGGATTCTGTTGAAAATAAATTGATGGAAGAAGCTGAGTTGGAAGCAGAGTTGACGTTGTGTACACGTGTCTTCTGATCATGAGAAGAAACGTCTGATGCAGGAGTGTCCAAAGACGACCAACACAGTGATAACACAGTAGATCGTCAATCTCATTAAAATCAGATCTTAGTTCTCGCTGCCGCTAAACAATCTCACTAAAATCATATCTTAGTTCTCGCTACCGCTGAACAAACTAAGATATGATTTTAGTGAGATTGAGTAGACCGTTTAAAAGTAGACATCGAACGCTTTACCAAGCGCTGCGTAATCCCAACACGAGAATTACAGTATGGTGCATTTTTAGCTTTGTTTCGGTTTTCTACCAAGAAGTCCTTGCTCGAAATATTTATAAGCTAACAGCAGAAATTTGACAGACGTTCTATGCTTTGCGTTCAGTAATATAGCTGTAAAACGGCGGCCTGAAAACCAGGGATTGATATTATGAGCAATGACCAACGCCGTCGGGGTACGGTGACAAGCAATGAACCAAGTCACCGAGCTTGACCACCCGATCCATTAAATCGCCCCGTCCAATAAGCATAAGTTGCTGGGAACTTATTCTAACCCGGATTCCTCGACCAAATGAAATTTTGTAATGTGTTTCAATACAACAGTTAATTGCCACCCTTATTACGCAGACGTAAATCTCTGTTTCACACATGGCGCTAATTCCAATGTTTAGTCCTAGAAAGGAAACGGGCCTGATTTTGTGGTGCACAGTTTCTTTTCAAACTATGTTATATAAATGATATTTGCTCCTTATACTTTATAGGGAGCACGGAGGCCTCATCGTCAAAGGTGTCACTGGAATTCGCTGTGCAGAGTTGCGTCCCTTGGGAACGCCAGAAACCTATGATTGTGGGTTCGGATCCGGTTCGCCCCGATTATGTTTCTAGGTTTGTCAGCACCATACCCGTGCTCGTGGGTTTCACCAAAGTGATAAACGCCTGAGACCTGCATCACTTCGGGCTTTCCTCCCACATTAAGCTGACACGCCGTGATATAGCAGGAATACTGTTCAAAGCGTCACTCTCTGTATGCTTTTAGTGTACATGAGAGTTCAAGTTCTCACCATATCCCCTATATCTTCTGCACAGCCGAACAGGAGCAGATGGTGCATGACGTCACGGTTGTCGATCAAGGGCTCAAAGGCAACTGCGTGATATGTCTCCTCGTCGGGAACCTACACATATACAAGGTGAAGGAAAAGTGAAGCAGTCTTCACTATATTGTAATTATATGTTCCTAATGTCTCACATTATCTCAAACAAAAACCCAGAACGCAACCAAACAAATATAAACTGGTGTCCAAAAGAAACGATACCACCTGTTTGCAACGACATAAAAGAAAAACTAAACAATGCAGAAGTTTAGGATTGGTGTTATGCTTTTGAGAAATCCTTTCACAACATCTGTACACAAATTTCATTTCAATAAAATCTGTACAACCAATATGACAAGCCTTTAAAGATGGGTGGGGTCGAAAAATGAACATTTCGTTAGAGCACTGATCACAGAAACAACGGGAAATGTCACACCACACGTCTCAAAGTCAAGTCAGTAGCGGGTATGTCAACCGTGAGCATCAACAGATGCCAGAACACGCCTACGGACTGATGACGTCAAACGTCTGATGACGTTGGGAGTGATGCGTTGCCATTCCTCGAGGAGACATCGTTCCAAGTCCTGGACGTTGACTGGAGGCACACGGCGACGTCGGATTTGCCGATCGAGGTGGTCCCATAAGTGCTCGATGGGATTCATGTCCGGTGAACATGCGGGCCATGGCAAAACCTGTACGTTGGCGATGGCAAGGAAGTTCTGTGTCAATCTTGCTGTGTGTGGCCTTGCATTGTCATGTTGGAAAAGGAGTTCACGAGGATGTTGCTGAATAAAGGGCACCACAACAGGCCGTAGGATGTCATCAAGATAACGCTGTGCATTCAGGTTTCCACGAATTACGACAAGCATCGTTTTGACGTCACCACATATGCCACCCCAAACCATTAACCCTCCACCTCCAAACGGCCGGACCTGTTGGATACAGTTAGGCGCCAAACGTTCACCAAATCGTCGGTATACAATCTGCCGTCCATCGTTTCTGAAGATGAGGAATCTGCTCTCATCAGAGAACATAACACGTGCCCAGTCCCGCCGTTGCCAACGTCGAACTCGCCTGGCCCAGATCAGTCTGTTGTTCCGGTGTCGAGGCGTCAGGAGCGGTCCGCGGTAGGGATGACGTGGCCGGATACCATACTGCCGTAGTCTCCTGTAGACGGTCTGTCGACTGATCCTGTGTCCCAGTGCTGTAGCCGCCGTGGACGTCGCTGTTACGGTGCGGTTCCTCAGGTGTAATACCCGGATGTAACGATCTTCACGGGGCGTGGTTACTCGTGGTCTTCCACTCCTGGGCCTGTGTGACGTCTGACCTGTCTGACGTAGCCGCTGCATCAACCTGGTGATAGTGATGCGTGCGCAGCCCAACCTTCTAGCGACGTCGACGTGTGACGCTCCTTGTTGGACCATTCCAACGGCTCTGTCTCTCTCGATGGCTGTCAAACGTGGCAAATCTTGAGTTCTTTTTGTTGCTGTGATATTAACGTGTCTGATCAGCCGTTTTATACAGTTTTTCTGCACGTGCAGAACATGCTAGAGAGGGAAATGTCACTTTCACGAAATTTACGTTTTTTCCCGGAAGTGATCACGTGTTCCCGGTATTTTTTATCGACTATGCTGTGTTTGGGATGTGCAATACGAATTGGCATGTTTTCATACTTGACAATTCACTTAGTAAAAAAAATTTTGAAAATAAGTTGGTATCGTTTCTTTTGGACACTAGTTTATTTTGAAACACTGTTCTGGAGGTATAAAATAGACTGTTACAAGTGTTGCTTCGTGCATTCCACACCAGGGACGACGATGTTCTTTCAGGCTGGGAACACGTGCTGTTCCAGTCAGAGGGGCGGTGGGGTTCGAATCTCGGTTCGCACCGATTATGTTTCTAGTTTTGGCAGCACCATGCCCATCATAGAGGGTTTCACCAAAGTGGTGAACGCCTGAGACTTGTATCACTTCGGGCTTTCGCCTCTCATCACGCTGACACGCCGTGATATAACTGGAATACTGTTCAAAAGGGTGTTAAACCCTTTTCACTCGCTCTCTATACTGAAACATCTCATAAATATTCACTGTGGTTAGAAACGCCTGCAACAACCCCCAACATGTTTTTTTTTTTATATGAAACCGTCTACTTTATTAGACGTTAATCAAGCTGGCTTGAAAAATAACTTTTTGAAAAGTCCAAAAAATTGAATCGTTGCGAGTACAGGTGAAGCTTTGATGCATTAAAACAAAGGAACCCATCACGGTCGGTACACGATCAAATTGAATCCTATGATTACTTGGAATAAGTCGAAAAGGGACACATTTTACTCAGGACCTTCAAGGCAAACGACGCTAGGTGTCTCTCCACCATATGGGGACTAAAATAAAACAATGATTTGAAAATGAAGTGAGAACAGGCAACAACCTTGAACTGTTGACACACGTAGGTCGTTTCCGAGTCAGGGACTTCAGTTTCCGGTATGCGGATGTCAAAGTGTTTAACATCCGGGTTACTTGTGTCAGGACAGGTGTTCCCGGTGACGCATGCATCACTCGCCAGACAGAGAATCAGACAGATGATAAATTCTGTGAAGAACAAGGGGAATGCATATACTCGGAGTAACAGAGTGACCCTACCGTCTGAGCAGAGGCGCAACGAGGCTAATCTTAAGTGAAAGCAAATTAATTTTATGAGGACTCGCTAATTTTTAAAAATGAGAGATGCCCTTAAACACTATTTCCTGCATTTTGGGACCGTTTATGGAGTTTATTGGTAATTTTTTATTATAATTTTTTTATAAGTTATATAATCTATACGTGTTTCACAACACTATCCGACTTTCATTCAAGAAACATCTATGATGATAAATGAAATTTAAACATTAAAACGAATCGATAATATTACTTTTATGTGTTTTTACATGTTCATTCGTAATATGTGGCGTTTTTTTTTGTTTTTTTTATTTTAACGCGAGCAGTTATTTGAAACTAATTGTGTGAGCGCGGTCAGCTTTCGTCACATACCATCTACCATCTTCCGATTTTTAGGTGTTAACAAAAATTGGGCTTTTTCTTCGGTGTAAACATTTGCTTTTTTTGCTACAATGGTAGTTTCACCCCTGCTAAGGCGCCTAAATTTGCTGTGTGCTTTAAACGTCTTTATAAAAATATGAAAATGGTTTGGCGAATCACTTATGTTAATACTGCTCCATGACACATAATACATGATATCATTGTATTGTCTGTTTTTTTATGACACAATAAGCTTCATTGTAACTTTTCTGATGACTCGTACCCCGGACAGTGGGGATAGCACTTGGATCTCTAAGAGCATCTAAGTTCATTTGTTCAAATATATCAGCTTGGTCAACAATAAATCCGGGTTTTCGGCGTGACGAGCGAACGCTTTAACCACTAAGCTACCCGACCGCCCCGAAAGTAAACCTGAAAGAACAAGTTCAAATTCAAGTATTATACAGAACCCTTGTCTGAGGGAAACTGCAAGTACTTGTATATAATATTGCACAGTACACATTTCGAGAACATCGAATCAATAATGGACCTCGATCATGATATTTCTGGGGCGGTCGGGTGGTGGTTAAAGGTTTGGCTCGTCACGCCGAAAACCCCGGTTCGATTCCCGATATGGGTAAAATGTGTGAACCCTATTTCTGGTGTCCCCGCCCTGATATTTGTGGAGGGGGCACGGGTGGCCCACTCGTCTCAGGCGCCGCGATTCGCTGTGCAGAGTTGCGTCCCTTGGGCACGCCAGAAACCTATGGTTGTGGGTTCCAATGTTTCTAGGTTTGTCAGCACCATACCCGTGCTCGTGGGTTTCACTGAAGTGGTAAACGTCTGAGACCTGCATCACTTCGGGCTTTCCTCTCACATTAAGCTGACACGCTGCGATATAATTGGAATACTGTTAAAAGCGGCGTTAAACCCAACTCACTGCTATTGCTGGAATATTGCTCAAAGCGGCGTAAAACCACACTTACTCACTCATGACATGTCACAGCTGTCTATGACAGTTATACAACACGGCGAGATGCACAAGTATCCCGCCTTCCCCGTAAAGCCATTACGTAACCTGTTGGAGGAACACATGTTCTTGTCCAATGTGGATATCCCTGTCTGGTACACGTCCAAGGATATCTTGCAGCTGCCACATGGAAGGTACGATCTTAATATTATCATTGTCATAAAGTTGAAGAGAAACATAATTACAATGTGTTATCACAGTACTGATACCTTTTAACAAACAAACCATTAAAATTCGAAAATTCCTGAAAAATATAATTATGCTTCACACTGTTGAAGGAAAAAGAAATTGCCAACCCCAATATTACATTGTTGGGGGGGGGGGGGGGGGTCAGGCTCATAGTTTAATATGTAAAAAATATCCGTTTCTGTAGATGATATTACATATCTAATCTCGATACAAAACCACCACCCCTCCCCCTCCGCCCCTGCCCTCCCTCTCCGCAACTCTGCATAGCGAATCGCGGCGCCTTAGACGACGGGGCCACCCATGCCCCATGCCCACCCAGGGTCGCTATGATTTCTTTAGCTATTAAACCCTCGAGCCACACTCAGAATTAACACCAGGGTCACTATGATTTCTTTAGCTATTAAAGCCTCGATCCACACTCAGAATTAACACCAGGGTCGCTATGATTTCTTTAGCTATTAAAGCCTCGATCCACACTCAGAATTAACACAAGGGTCACTATGATTTCTTTAGCTATTAAAGCCTCGATCCACACTCAGAATTAACACCAGGGTCGCTATGATTTCTTTAGCTATTAAAGCCTCGATCCACACTAAGAATTAACACCAGGGTCACTATGATTTCTTTAGCTATTAAACCCTCGATCCACACTCAGAATTAAGTCCAGGGTCACTGTGGTTTCTCGAGTTATTAAACCCACGATCCACACACTCAGAAATATAAACCACCGTCATGTTGTCTTGTGTGGACCGAGAGAATGAACGTATATCTGAGATTTAGCTTCAGCCTTATCGCTTGACCTGCAAATATTCCAAAAGCATTTCTTATCTGTTGTACAACATTATGAAAATAACATTATTTAGCATAGTTTCTTGCGAGGGTTACCGTCATACCTCCTAATTTCGATCGATCGTTGAATTCACTCAACTTTCAATATGACAAGATCGACATGATACTGTCACAGTAACTCGAAAACACGTACCTTGGTCGGTCATGGTGACGTCACACTTTCATGAGAGATGTGCCCAAACAGCATATGAGCGAGGTCACCGACGTGTCGTGTGAGAACATTAGAGGAGGGGATGGGCCGAGTTGGCCGATTTCGGAGTGAGTGAGTGAGTGAGTGAGTGAAAATACTCTACAAAGCGACGTAAACCTAAACTCATCCACTCACTCTCACACAAAATTTTTTTGGACATGGTCAAGCATTACTATTTATTAAGTAATTGTTTGGAAAATCATGATTAATACATGTAATAATCTTTTGTTTTTCAATGCAAAGTTCAGTAAAACTAGATTACACCTAACATAAAGAAACACAAATAAATACCTCAGCACTTATTTTTTTCTAAAAAGACACTTGCCTCAAACGTTCTCATTTTTCTCTCAAACTACGTAGTAGTGAGAAGTGATGAAGCTCAACAAAGAGTGGAAGTTGAGAATAATTGTTTGCGCTCGATTGTGAAAATTGCCTTCGATTGTTGAAGTTAATTGGACGACTAATCAGTAGCACTAAATGGGTTAAAGGGTCGACCACAAAACAAAAGAGAAAAATGAACAATCCGTCTTTATCTACATCTGAGAAAATCAGCTTTGTGTCACAGTTACTCATGTTCGCATTTTAGAAAAGTTCTTCCTGAAAACTTCAGCCTTGTCAATACATTTAAGTGAGTGAGTGAGTGAGTGAGTGAGTTTGGTTTAACGCCGCTTTTAACAGTATTCCAGTTATATCACGGCGTGTCAGCTTAATGTGGGAGGAAAGCCCGAAGTGATGCAGGTCTCAGACGTTTACCACTTCAGTGAAACCCACGAGCACGGGTATGGTGCTGACAAACCTAGAAACATAATCGGGGCGAACCGGGATTCGAACCCACAATCATAGGTTTCTGGCGTGCCTAAGGGACGCAACTCTGCACAGCGAATCGCGGCGCCTTAGACGACAGGGCCACCCGTGCCCCCCAATACATTTAAGCCTCCCCCATGCATATAGCGTTGTAAAAAGTCTAAATCCAGTTGTTGAAATGAACAAAGTGTTAATATCAATCATATAAATGAATCTGATACCTTACATAACGTTTTCTAAAGGCGTAGCTCAATTGTATAATTATGCAGATCCTGCAAGCTTTAAAGGGATTTTACTCTTTATCCGGCATGTTAGTGCATATGTCCCCCAGACTCTTGCCATATTTTATTCACACCGAGGGCGTACATGTAAACTGTGATGTTTCCATCGGTACATTGTGTACTGTGAAACCTCATAAATCTGGAACCTGTTAATCCGCAAACCTCACATTCCTGATAAATACTTTTGAGAACGGCTTTATAGCTACAGGTACAGAACTAATAACCAGTACGTTGTTAATCCTGATCCGAAGATCTGTTGATGCGGAGGTCCGTTAATCCGGACATCCGTTAATCCGGACAATTTCTTTGGGGAAGGGACACCGTCCGGAATAAACTGGGCGTCATATAACTACAAAATGAATGTGGAATAATGGTTCGTAATCTCGGTATGCATTTTGCATCACAGCACTCATATGTCAGACCAATAAACCCGTGAAGATCGGGTTTAGAATTTGTCTTCAACAACCCATGCTTGCCGTAAAAGGCAACTGTGTCGTAAGAACGACTAACAGGATCGGGTGGTCAGGCTCGCTGACTTGGTTGATGCATGCTATAGTAGATGCTAATGATGTTAATCACTGGATTGTCTGGTACAGACTCAATTATTTACTGACCGCCGCCATATAGCTCGAATACTGCTGAGTGCGGCATTAAACAACAAACAAACATACAAACATGTGTTTTGTATCCACGCGATTCGAATTTATGTGTGCCCTCTGTCACACTGTCATGTACCCGATTCACCCAGGGGCACTGTTACAGAGGAGCATGCACACGTGTACAGCAACAACAATACGATGAGTTTATATGCCATTAACTTGGGGAACATGCATTTGATAAAGTAACATCACTTAGTCGTGACGTAGTAACTGCCTGACAGTGGACATGTAAGGTTTATTTATACAGGTTTCTGCGATTTACAAGGTGACCATGGATACGGTACAAGTGACGTCACTTAGGCGTGACGTAGTAACTGCCTGGCAGTGGACATGTAAGGTTTATTTATACAGGTTTCTGCGATTTACAAGGTAACCATGGATACGGTACAAGTGACGTCACTTAGGCGTGACGTAGTAACTGCCTGGCAGTGGACATGTAAGGTTTAGTTATACAATTTGAATTATTTAGACAAACAGCCGAAGGAGACACGTAGGTTGAGGCTCCATCTGTATTACATGCGAAATGTTGATACATATAAAATTCGAGTGAGTGAGTGAGTATGGTTTTACGCCGCTTTTAGCAATATTCCAGCAATATCACGGCGGGGGACACCAGAAATGGGCTTCACACATTGTACCCATGTCGGGAATCGAACCCGGGTCTTCGGCGTGACGAGCGAACGCTTTAACCACTAGGCTACCCGACCGCCCCCCACCCTTGTCGAACTAGGCTGGAATTTCGTGACTCGATCAATGCCTATTACGAGTTATGTCCCTTCTATGTACTTCTTATTGACCATCAAAAACATAAAACGATTTGACAGGTATCTGTCGATGTCCATTTGACAGTACACATGCTTTGCAAATCCTGCAGTGGACCGAAATTTGCATGTTGAAATCCGTGTTGTTTACGATCCGGAAAACGGCTATGCATAGACTCGTTTGTCCAGCCAATAAATAACTCCGGAATTCCAGCCTAGTTCGGCACGGTCGGAATCATTCGTCACCACTCGCCCCTTTCCGTAACCTGCAAGAAGACTCGTCCCCCTATCGATGAATGTTATGTGCGAAAATACGACAAACCAATCAGAATGCGCGTATGATTTCAAGTTCTTCGTCAAAGAATCCCTCAGAAATAATTTTTGATTTTACATATGTCTTGCATCTTAAATATACCAAAGACACAGTTAAATGTGTTCAATCATACTGTATAATTCCGCACGTCCTGATGTGCTTTAAATTGCATCTGAAATGTATATAATATACGGGGAAAATGTGTGAACCATTACGCAACAACTTGACAATTGTTTTAGGTATGCCCGTTTGCGCTAAGATGGAACCCGGTCGCATAAATGGCCACGAGGGGGGCATGAGTCGCTATTCGGCTTGTCCCGGAATAACACGAGTTGGTCACGAATAGGGTGGAATCTGGGTTTTTACAGCAAGTAACCTCCCTTGCCTCGGGACGATGGCCACATTGCAGACCAGTTGTAACATAAGGAAGACAATTTATGGATGTCAACTTCTTTATTATGAGGAACACAAATCCCGGTGTTCCTTAAAATAATCCCGAATACCATCAAGTGTCCCTCATTGCTCACCCCTGAATCCCGAATACCATCAAGTGTCCCTCATTGCTCACCCCTGAATCCCTAATACCATCAAGTGTCCCTCATTGCTCACCCCTGAATCCCTAATACCATCAAGTGTCCCTCATTGCTCACCCCTGAATCCCTAATACCATCAAGTGTCCCTCATTGCTCACCCCTGAATCCCTAATACCATCAAGTGTCCCTCATTACTCAACCCTTAATCCCGAATACCATCAAGTGTCCCTCATTGCTCACCCCTGAATCCCGAATACCATCAAGTGTCCCTCATTGCTCACCCCTGAATCCCGAATACCATCAAGTGTCCCTCATTGCTCACCCCTGAATCCCGAATACCATCAAGTGTCCCTCATTGCTCACCCCTGAATCCCGAATACCATCAAGTGTCCCTCATTGCTCACCCCTGAATCCCGAATACCATCAAGTGTCCCTCATTGCTAACCCCTGAATCCCTAATACCATCAAGTGTCCCTCATTGCTCACCCCTGAATCCCGAATACCATCAAGTGTCCCTCATTGCTCACCCCTGAATCCCTAATACCATCAAGTGTCCCTCATTGCTCAACCCTTAATCCCGAATACCATCAAGTGTCCCTCATTGCTCACCCCTGAATCCCGAATACCATCAAGTGTCCCTCATTGCTCACCCCTGAATCCCGAATACCATCAAGTGTCCCTCATTGCTCACCCCTGAATCCCTAATACCATCAAATGTTTCTCATTCCTTACCCCTGAATCCCTAATACAATCAAATATCTCTCATTCCTCAACCCTTAATCCCGAATACCATGAAATGTATCTCATTCCTTACCCCTGAATCCCTAATACCATCAAATTCCCTGCGCAACGTTGCCTCCCTAAGGCGTGTTGGTTCGAATCCTGATTAGTCCTGATTATATTTCTTGGTTTGTCGCACCATATTCTAGTTTGTGGGTTTCACCAAAGTGGCACGAGGAGCCAATTTTTTACTCCTACGCTTTCATGCTTTCCAATTTCCCCCCAGTCTTTTAAGAACTACCAACTGTAACATTGTATTTGCAAATACATCTCAAGCTATCTTTCATTTGCTGAAGCAGTCAGTTTTATTACACGAGTTTTGCTGAAACACAAACACGCAACATATTTTTTATATCCACCGAAATATGTTATGAACTTGAAGACGTGATCGGTTTTGTTATCAAAGAATTTGACATGGGTGATGGGGGAGCCTTGTTGGTCAAGTGTTAGCTCCTCACACTGAAGGCACTGAGCGCCGTTGCACAAACGCTACGACTGTGTTAAGTCTATGTTAAGGTATGGAAGTTACGATCACCTTAGCGCTAAGATCGCTTTGTACAACGGTACATCGATTCCAGCATTTTGTCGAATGTGTGACGACACTCTCAGAAGACATGGAAGTTGAATAAAATATGACAATGATATTCTTTGTTAGATTCGGAGCATATCAATATCATAACATTATGGTTTCAAACTTTAAACGTCCCGGTCTGTTTATCCAGGTTTAACTGGGTTATTCTCTCGATCACACGTTGAACAATTTTTTCAGAATACTTCAGCAACGTGTCGTCTGTTGCTCGGACGGAACCCCACTCCTTTGGTGGTACAATACGGTAGTGGTGCAGAAGGCACCGAGAATACTGACATATGCAACCATTGTGTCCTTTCCGAAATTTTTTAACAGTGTGTGTTCCGACGATCTCAACACCTGTTGGTTTGATGATCACTTTTGATCTTTTGCCAGGATTGTTGATTATTAAATGACTTGTGTACAACAGGTAGGTGAGATTGAGTCTTCTTGCTTCTTGCTTCAGAGTGAAATTCCCCGTATGAGGTTGAAGGTTCACAGGGAAAAAGGTATTTCGGACAAGCAGACAAGAACACGATGGTCGACCTTTCAAGTTGTCAACGATCATGTCTAAAGTATTGGCATACACCTTTGGTATGTAGACTTCATCCGTGTCTCCAGTCAGTATAAATTCGGAGACGTGCAAGTTTCTGTACATACACTCTTGAATGACAGCAAGTTGTGCAAAGTAATAAATCTCAGATCGGTTTAAAGGTACATCCCATGGCAAGATTTCTAAAACTCCCAAATTACGATAATGTTTTAAAACATTCATAGCAGATTCGTGTATACTGTAATTGTAAACAATGAAATGTTCAACACCGAACATGAGGCTGATTTCAAGTGTCTGTATAAGCTGTAATGTGTTGCTGAAATTTGAATGAAGTGCTGAGAAACATCTTGTAAGCTGTCTTTTCTTCTTCAAAGGATAGATAACTCTCAGCATGTTGCAAGCCTTTGTAGTAATGATTCCACTAATCCTTACTGCTGTTGGCCATCCGTCTTTGGGAAACCCACACTTAATAAATCCAGAATGGTACCTGAAAAATAAAACAACTGTAAAATAGGGAACAGAAGGATTGACCATTCGAATGACCGTCATATAGCTAGAATATTACTGAGTGTGTCGTTAAACAACAAACAAACAAACAAACATGGTTTTCACAGTTCACTACTTTACAAAGAGGTGACAACTGGACCAAAACTTAGTGGAGTGAACTTTATACCCATACATACTACTAGTATTTGCTTTGTACTTGGACATCGAGTGTCATAATACTAATGAGATATAATATTTCTATCATTAGAAAGCAAATAACATACCCGCCACATGTTAAGACCAGAAGTGTAGATTCATCACAAGGTATGCACAAACTCTACTCCACCCTGAGGATGGCAAAGTTTCTTTGACCTACAGTAATCAATTCTCGATCAGTGAGCAGTGAGCAGTGATCCATGAGCTGCCTCATCAATACGTCAAAGCAAAATGACCACGGCCATAAAGTGGATATAAATTATATCCCTAACATGTAAAATCGAGTTTGCGGCGGCACACTTTCCGTGCGGTGGCAAACTTTCCGATCGTATCGTTCCTTGACTTGATTTTCACATTTGGGTTGATGACGTCATGGTGACGTGTTGATGCTTTAAACATACAGTGTCCTGTGCACATTAATACAAAGATAGAAATACAGCACTACTTTGTGCACACCAGGCATCGAAGGGCCCACAAGACATCATGAATATATATAGAAAAAAACATGTATATAAAAAATCATAAATAATAAATAAATAAATAAATAAATATACACTTGGACTATTTTCGAATACATGCTTGTATAAATCTTCTCAATTGGTTTGGGTATTTTCACATATGCTGAAGTAGACATATTTTGTTTGAAGTTTTTATTTTGTTTATTAATGCCATTGAACAAATAAAAATGTCACTTCTCCCTTTCGCACTTTTCCAGTATTGCCAAAGCATTGTTGAAGACATGTAACATGCTGGACATAAGAAAGTCAATAGCACTTTGATTACCATGAAGTTGCAGTAGTTGTTACTTAAACCAAACCAAATGTTTACGAAAGTTTCAAAACTTCCATCTGAAGTTTAGTATCTTAATTTCTACAGCCATGTCATTTCTAACAGCTGTGTTTAAACTGTGTTTACTTTATTTTTGTTGAAAAGGTTATTTCCTCATTGATAAAATACCGTGTATCCCGCCTGAAAGGGAAATAAATCTCCTGGCGGGAGAATAAATCGCTCACACCCCGCAACGAATGAAAGTACTGCGCGCTGTTTACGAGTCAATAAAAGTCAACAGACACAGCACAAGTTAACCTTTTCCTAAAATAATTTCTCTAAATTTTCACTTTGTTGTAGTAGTTGTGTGCCGGACTCTGGAACCGCTCCTAGCTTCTGATTGGTCGGTGGGGTCACGTGACCTCTGATGACGTCACTTGCGGTTTCGGTTTGCGCAGGGCATTGTGGGTCCTGCGTGCGCATCCAAGATGGCGGCACACCTGTTTCCGGGGAGGAGGGGGACACCCAAAGAAGCGCTCGTAAAAGGTGAACAAGATCGACATTGAAAGAAGCGCGTCTAAAATCTTTTTGTTGTTCCAAACATAGAAAAGGCGGTGGTGGTGGTGGAGGGAGGTGGCGGTGGGTCAGTGGGTGAGTAAGTTTAGAATTCAGCCAACACCTTTAGAATTCCACTTATAGTGCATATATATGTCTTTTTTGTTCAGAATTATTCATATTTCATTACAAATATTTACTAAACCGGGTTCGATGTTTCAATACAGAATTTTGAAAGTCCAGTAATCGTGTTCCGCTGCTGTACTTGGTCACATAAAGATTTGAAATTAATTAACGATGGAGAACTTGTCGACTTACATTATGTTATATGGCAGTTGCCTTTGAACAATAAATTACATTCAAATGTTTCAAAGATCATATCAACCAAACAACTGATTAATTTCGAAATATTCAAAATATTCTTTGTCCCTCTGTTCCTAACTTACATTCTCATTGTGCATAATTGAAATTGTTACATTTAAAGATGCGTTGTCTTTATTTGTGCATGCTGTGACCACGACACCCTACATGCCATACAAGTCAAAGTAAAACCTACCTGTATCCCAAATTAGGCTTTTGCATATACTGCAATATTCCCCTGTACGTGACCGGAGAAGCTTGTCCAGAACCATTGAAGTACGTGCATACAAATGATGGCAGTTTCCTCGCATCCTGGATATGTCTAACCAATGCTATTACCCTGATTATAGGGACTTCAATGTCGTCGTATATTGCCGAATACACATACGTGTTGAGAGTGTCTCCAACTCTCTGGAATCCCGTTTGAGATTCAGAATTGCTTCTATCTAAGTTTCGCCCTTTGGTCCGGCTTATGTGTTGGATCTGCGTTTGGTGATGTGCATCGATATCTTGTGTAAATCCAAGAGCTGACGTCATCATAGACAGGCTTTGCGCTAACTCCAGATCGTGTACAGATTTTTGAGCATATTTAAACAAGACAAACACTGACAGAAGGCTGGTAATCAACAATGATGTTAGGAGCAGCCTCATATCTACTGTCTTCTTCCCATGCAACTTCCCACGGCGTTGTGAACCACAAGTCTGTGTCAGTTCGCTGAAGTAAGATGTACCCAATGTTGCCCAAGATAGGAAAATACCTTAATAATATTGAAGCAGTCTTCCAAGCTAAACCGCTTGCATGATCACAGAGACACTATTTGAGTAGTCGTTGATATCGATTTTCAACTTCATTGGACAAAGAATAATAGCAGTGCCCACAGCAGTTCAACATCGACCTGGAAATAGTGCAAGCTGCATATGCCCTACAACTACATGTGACAATAATACATGTACACTGCTTTTAACTTAAGGCAGATAGATATACATGTAGTTTAAAGAAGGTACAAGGGTGGCGTGTGGTAAATGTTAAAGCGTTGCTCGTCTTGCCTAACAGGGTCAATACAAACTCTCACGGCTGTAAATGATATATTTTTGGAATATTACAAAACGCGGGTTAAACGTATACTCTTTATACAGTCCATTCTCAATCACACACCATGTTCTTTCTCAGCTGAATATATGGTAACCATGTTGGTAAGGATCACTGGACATGCTGATGTATGCGGCGGGGGGGGGGGGGGGGGGGGGGGGGGATTTGGAGTGGGGAGGAGGGATAAATAAAAACAGCAATAGAGGAGAGTGGAGGGTGGTGGAGGGGTGAGTCGCCAAAATGTATCACAACTATAGAGGTGGGGAAGGGAGGGGGAATGAACAATATCAGTTCTGTGGTTTGAAATTAATGTAAGGAGTTGTTTTGGTAGTGAACACTGGGCGCACAGCTTCTTTCCCCACTGACATGAGTATTTGCAATAAGCAGTCAATTTATTGTCATTGCCTAAAAGTCGGGCCGGGCTGGGCCAAGACGGGCCAAAGTGTTATTGGCTAATTACTTCATTATCGGCGATCATACCTACATATTATTGATGCAACATACACACATGACATTAATGAACAATCACCAACCAAAAACGTGAAGCGTAATTAGGTATTTCGGAGTAAATCGCTTGAAATCCAGAAAGTGGAGCTGTGTGTAAGCGTCGCTGATCTAGGTAACATGTAAAAGAGCAATCGTTAAACGAAATAATATTTGTAACGTATCAAATACTTCTAGCTATCGCGATACAAATTTCCATCTGTCGGCATAGCGTTTATATTTATAGGATAGTACTATATCTATGTAAATACCACTTAATAATGTCAAAGTTCATCGTGTATAAAGCAGTAACGTTGGTTAAAGTAGACCTCTTCTCCCTATACTCTCAACAGTCTCACAAGTGTTCGGTCCGACTTGGCCCGGGCTGTCAAAATCAACTTAAACCTCACAGATGTAACATGAAATGGATTCACACCTATAGATTAGTATTATATCTACCTAAATATCTCTCTATAGTGTCTCAGATCGCGGTTTTTAAAGAAAACAAGGTGCTCAAAGTGAAGCCCTTTCCCCTCTACATTCTCAACATAGTCTCTTATCAAAAGTGTTTGGCTTGTGGTGGGTCCGACTTGGCCCGGGCTGTCAAAATCAACTTTAAACACACAGATGTATCATCAATGTAGAGGGAAAAGGGCTTCACTTTGAGCACCAAGTTTTCTTTACATACCGCGATCTGAGACACTATAAAGTGGTATATAGGTAGATATTATTATATTATTTTGTCTTGGAACATCTATAAGATGTACAGCTACATGTATTTACCAAAAGAAAGAATCTACGCTTTTACTTCATTAAATAAACATTCACTCATTGAACATCTCCAACAGTTTTGTCCATGTTGAGATCCACTGAAATGGTTAGTTCATTTGTTACATTTATATAGAACAGAACGATATTTGTGATTAAATATGATTGTAGATACATTTACCTTGGCTATATTTTAAAATTCAACAATAGCTTGCGTGTGGTTTGTTTGGAAGCATAAAATCAACTATTGTTTGTAAAAACCATTTGTGTGTGTTAATATATATGTTTTTTAAAGGAAGAGGTGTTTGAATAAATAATTATTTGTGTGTTCTTAAACACATATCATGTAATTATATTTTCCTGAATAACATGTTCTTTGCATGTAAAATAAATGTCCCTGTACACCTATGTAGAAAGTCAATAAGCGAAATAAAACTGAGTAACAGACTGTGTATTATAGATCCATAGAAATACGATTGCATAGACGATCAATTCAGAATACAACAGGTGTAAGGTGTAGCTAATTGAAATTTATCTCGATGACTAATTGAAATATATTTCGCAGGTAATAATCAATAAACATTGTGACAGAAAAACAAGTGAAGGATTGAGTTGAATTTTAGTTTTGCGAAGAAGGTCCGTGGTTTCTGTGGATGAAACTAAGTTTGACAATGTTGCAAATGATCACTTTCTTTGACTTCATTACGGATTCCTCAACCTGTATCGAGGAGAATTGTTTACAGTTAAGTAAAATTCTAATTAAGATTTATTAAAGCTGTCACGGTGGCAAATTCAAACTTCGATATCATGGTACACAGTTCTATTGTAAAGTCAGATTGGGAGTTCGAGATGGCACTGTGTATTTTTATCTCGAATTTGAAATAAGCGGTTAAATTAATATGTTTTGTTTGTTTGTTTTTTTGTTTAACGCCACACTCAGCAATATGCCAGCTATATGACGGAGGTCATGCAAATAATCAAGTCTGGACCTGACAATTCAGTGATTGACATCGCGAGCATCAATCCACACAATTGGGATAAGATGACATGCATCCATGTCAGCGAGCCTGACAACCAACCCGATCCCGTTAGTCGCCTCTAACGACAACCATAGTCACCTTTTAATACAAGCATTGGTTGCTGAAGATCTGTTCTAACCCTGATCTTCACAGGTCCAAATCTATATGTGTTTTTATGGTAAGGCGGTCGTGATCGGAGAATAGGTTCGAGAGGTCGGTACACACATTCGTGGTCAATATCTCTCATGTTGTGGATCATAGGGATTTTGTCATGTTTTGAAGAAATGTCATCACTGGCATTCTTTTGATGGTACACAAAACGTAAGCTTTACCTCGAACATGCTAGTTCCGGTCACAAAATATATGCTTTATCTTTTACTGATTTATGTTTTAATAATATTACAACGTTTCTCAAGGTTACAGACTCCAGGGATTCATTAAAGTGCATTTTAAGCACCTAAAATTGACAACTAACACCCTGATCGCAAAACTCCTAACGATTTTTACTAAAAATAGATACGAAAACTTTTGCTGAACCCGAGATTTGAATGACTGACAAATCCGTACTTTCTTGTGTTCTCATACATAAAACAGCAGTGTAAACATGATCTAACATGGCTTAATGTGGAATGTGTCTAGGATTATAAACTGTCCATATTATTCCAAATTGTATGCATACACATGTGTCATGTCTTTATTTGGTTTTGTGTCTCTACCCGCAAACATATGTGGCAAGATACACCTTCCAGGATAGTGGACGATGTGGACACTGACGAAAATTTCTACAACATGTCCAAACATTCCCAAACAGACAGAATCATATGCTTTCTGAAAGTCAATCCAGCACATCGTTGTTGTCGTTGTCGTTTTTGTCGTCTACGTCATCATTATCCTTCAAGGATAGTGGACGGTATGGACACTGGAATATTTTGAATATTTGGAAATGTGTGCATTTTAATTAATATAAACAGTTAAGCGTCAGGAAACGGGATTTTTCTTGTCATGAATGGCGAGTATAACAACTTGGGAAGCTAGCTTGACATTTCGTTAGTACGGTCCTCATACTGTCTTTGCCTTGTTTCTCCTGGATCTCTTAGTTTCAAAAGAAACAGATAAATCGGTCATACAATGCTTTCATTGGATTTATCCAAAAGGACCATATCAGGTTTGTTCGCTTGGATACGTCTGACTCTGTATGTGGGCGTATTCCAAAGAATTTTATATGTAATTATCATTTCCCACGACGCCCTCTGCATATTCTGGGTCTTACCATTGATGGTCTCGGAGTCAAAACCACACATTACGGTAACAAGAGGATCGAACCATGCCAAAGATACTGTGTTTGTGTCAAGCTGGACATCAACTTTGACACAAATTCACACATTGACGTTTTCGAGTGGCAAGTGACTGGTTATGGGTCGATTTGATATGGCACTTCGCTTGATTGACACTCATTTCTGTACCGTCCAGCACCATCAACAAAATAAACATTAACATTGATATTCAGTACTGCATCAATGGGTCGTTTAGGAAAATCCATTGAATGACTTGTTTTCAGTCTTGACATGCTTCACAAGAGGATCTTCAGATAAATAAATATGTGCAAAAGTGCACGATTAAATTCAATCATGAAAGGCCTCCTTGTTAATCACACCACAGACGTTAAAATATGGTGATCATCCTCATCATAAACAATTATCATCATCATTATCATTATAATGTTTATGTTCCCGTCACAGTACATCGTATTTAAAGAAAACAAGGTATAGATATAAACACATTTGATGATACATCCGTGAGTTTAAAGTTGATTTTGACAGCCCGGGCCAAGTCGGACCCAACACAAGCCAAACACTTTTGATAGAGACTATGTTGAGAATGTAGAATGAAAAGGGCTTCACTTTGAGCACCTTGTTTTCTTTAAATACAGCGAACCGAGACACTTTAAAGTGGTATATAGGTTGATATTAAACTCGTTTATAGATGTGAATACATTTGAACATACATCTGTGAGCAGCCCGGGCCAAGTCGGACCCAACACTTCAGACAGATTTTCTTAAGAAAATACAGGAAAAGTGTTTGACTTTAACGGACCAGTTTTCTTTACATACATGTATTGAGACACTATAAAGTGGTATATAGGCAGATATTAAATTCGTTTATAGATGTGAATACATTTGAATATACACCTGTGAGGTTTTACGTTTATTTTGACAGCCCGGGCCAAGTCGGACCCAACACTTCTGATAGAGACTTTCTTAAGAAAATACAGGAAAAGTGTTTGACTTTAACGGACCAGTTTTCTTTACATACGATGTACTGAGAAACTATAAAGTGGTATATAGGTAGATATTAAACTCGTTTATAGATGTGAATACATTTGAATATACACCTGTGAGGTTTTACGTTTATTTTGACAGCCCGGGCCAAGTCGG